GAGATGCGATTGTCTAAATCGATGATACGAGATGTGCAAACATAACGCAGGTGCCATGGTGCAAGCAACGGTGATAACAGTAAATGCCAGCACAGCAGAAAATTGCAAAGGATACTTTTAGAAAAAGAAAGTGCAAAGTAGCAAACGAAGAAATGTAGTGACATGAGGTATAAAACGAATAATGCCTGTTAGAGTATCACTCACACGTACTGCCACACGCGACTGTCGTACATACTCCTCAGGTGTAGCAATTTCGCACTTAGAACTTTGCCACTAAATGCAGCAAACAACATCAAGCGAAGGTGACAAGTCACGACGCGGAGAAGCGGGTGTGAGTAGCTAAAATGTGCAGTATCAAAAGTAGTTATGTCTCCAGAATGGCCGCAAAGCTGCGAACGTGTCGTTATGGCGTTTGGTATTTTCTCAAAAAGTTTGTACGAAAGTATCGGAAATCCTCCGAGTAAAAAGAAACTCCGAAAACCAAAACGACTGCATTGCGTCGCTTAAATGCCCCTAAAGGCGGCTATTATGGTTCTATTTGATATTTTTTGGTGAATTTTTTGTTGTCTACTTTTATATCAATGTATTCCAATTTTTCTAACCTCTATAGAAAATCACTATTGAAGGATTTTTAAAATTCTACTTGAAGCAAGAAATATAGCTTCATATTTTGCAGTATTTTCATGGTTTCGATCTTGATCTACCATTAGTCTCACTTTCTTTTTAATATATGCAAGTATCTTGGAACATGTCCAGAACAACTATTCCCCATTTTACAAAAAATATATTTTTTATATACCTTACGATATTATAAAATAGTTGACGTAGTTTTAATTGGATTTAAATTCTGAACAAATGTAATAAATCCACACTTTTTACTACTAAATCTTGATTAAAATGTGATTGGAGTTTATTAATATCTAAGAGCCATTCCTCGCCTCTACGTTGTTTGTCGAACTACGCGATTAAGTTTTTGTAAAGCATCGAGATTTGTTGTTAATGAAGGATTTTCTAATTCAAACCATTTCACAAACCCATGTTTAGATTTCATACCAATCCGTTCATATTGGACATCTTCACGACACGCTCCGCTATTATCTTCATAGCATCAACGTAAATGGGAAAATCGCATATAAGGTAACCTCAAAACATTTTAATATCTGAGAAGTAAATCATAATGTTCCAATACTTTTATTTTTAAAAGATTTGTTTTGACTTTTTTGACACCTTTATTCTGTACACTTTAACTGGAACAACATTAAAAAAATTTCAAATCTAGTATTTTCAGAACTCGGTTTCTGAACGGTAACCTAATATATTGTTTTAAACATACTTCTGTGCGCACAAGCGTTTAACTGTATTTTAGTCAACGTGTATTTATATAAGAAAAGTAAAATTTTTTACACTAACACTTTCTTATATCATATTATACGTTTAAACAATGCTACCTTAGATCATTGTAAACCGTTAACCAGCTGAGTCTTGAACGTTCAGATGCTCACAAGTGGAACGTGGTATGCCTGATATCCTGTAAATTGTGAGCACAGATCAAAGCGTGATTTGATGACGTTTAGCTGACAGACAACACGACATTTCAACTTTACCGCTATAAAAAAGTGGATTATTTGACGGAAACGCATGCTTACATATATATTTGTTTGTCTGGCTTGAATAAATACAATTTGTATTTATAGTGCACAACAAAAAACTGAAAAGGTGAAACATTGGTTGAAATATTTGATAAATGTATTTACATGTTTGTATTTTAGGGTGAGCCATCTTTTTTGTGTGAGTAAATAAGGCTTAAAGGATAGCTGATATTTACGTTTCATTCTACCATATTAGGGAACTAAAATTAGAAACTTCAAAACAACAATAAACCTATTTTATCCATCACTTAAAAACTTAAAATTACTGCCGAATTACGCCAAAAAAAAATAATAACAAATACTAACGAATATTACTGACTAGTTTGTTGCTTAGATCCTTTTATACAATGTTGCGTATTCTACCGGTTTTGAACTGATTTCATTGTGATATTTCAATGGACGTTATTGATAAATATCGTCTTTTTTCTGACGATAAGTAGATTATACCGGAAGATGTGTGTGCAGAAGAGCTCGCATGTAACCGGGACAAATTGCTTATGTTGACTGGTTAATGCGCTGATGAATTTGTGTACATGGGATTAGTGACTTACCTGCTTCCTGAACTGGTTCGGTAGCCAAGAGGCACTTTTGGCAATCTCAATGGCTATTTCGTTTCTCGGAATGCCCTTGTGACCTGGAATTCAGTATATGTGCAGCCGGTTTTCATCAGCCACTATATCTACCGCCTTCCTATTTATAATATAATTCTCTGACGCAATGGGATATGAGATTATTGCTTTAATTGTCACTTGGCTATCAATGTATATGTTGATGTTCCTTATGTCGTTTCCTACGTTATCAGGTTTCCTGACCGCAAAGACTTCTGCATGGAAGCTACTGCAGTATTTCGGTAGCTTAAAGGTCGCCTGAGAACTTGATCCGCGCCATAAATCCGGCCTCACTCCATCAGCGATTTTCGATCCGTTCGTTTAGATGTTGAAAGTTCCGCTGGTGGATCGCGTGCTCCGGCACCATCCACCCTGTTTTAGTGTGACTTGAAACCTTCTCTCGTAGATAAAGCGTAGGGGTATGTGGTCTATTTTATCCACCGACTCCCTGTTTATCGAACTATGACCGAAGGTTCTTGTGGAAAATTCACCTAACCCCGCCAATCTTTTCTAGCGCAGCTGTTGGAGTGGTTCTTAGTTCTCCCTACAATAAGGGCATGAGAACAGGCTATTTGCCCCATGTTGACCCTAGCATCTTCTTACATGCATAGAGAGTAGCACTGGGCTTTTTCACCTTCTTTTCTGCGTCAGTAATGAAGGCTTCTAGAATCTTTTCGAGAATCTTCAGAAGGAATGAGGTAAAATCTGTTGGTATATATTCTTTCGAAGGCCCACCTTAGGTATGGGCCTCATTCCAAAGGGTAGACAGTTAAGCCTTAAACATCCTTCATATATTGTCATCGTATACATACCAAGGGACGAAGCCGTTGAGTGCTCAAAGTATTCGAAAAAAAATTACCACCCTAATATACCCACAAGTGTGCATCAATTTAACATACAAAGAAGCAGTCAGCAGTATGAGCGTGACGGTGTAATATCAAGGCAAACGCGTTTTTGTGAGTGTTATATTTATCACTTCTGAATCGGAAGTAACAGGAAATCTTTCACGCTCTCACAAAAACTTAACTACAGACACGTACACCGAAATGCAAATGCCAGAGCACGACGCTCCTATAAATATTGAACACACTTATATAAATTGCGTTGTATGCAAGTACTCGTAATCCTGCAAGTGCATGCGTTTCCCGCTCTCTAGATTCATAAGAGGCATTTGGTTGTCACTGAAGGAAGGGATTTAATATATTTTATTCAATTGCTATTTGTAATCGCTTAAAAGAAGAGCTTGGTAAAGAGTTGTAATTTCAACTATTTTTGTGTCAATTAATAAAACAAAAGGAAATGCGGTGAAGTGCTGAGTAAATCGCTAGTGTGTAAATTACGAATACATAGTTAATCTTCGATTTACCGTTACACTAAGTTAGTTTTTTTACATACTATAAGTATCTATATTAATTGATAACTTAAATACTCAAACTTAGATAATTAAATTTTAACAAATATTCAGTTTATAGATATATATGAGTTTACTTATTTTTTTAATACTTTAAACTATTATGAAACGGGTTATGCATGCTTTCTTCGTACTGTCATCCCCACAAACGCTCACGTGCTGACAGTTCACATCTGTTTTTGCACACTAGTATACTCACGCACATACAGATTGCTTAAGCACGTAGATCATGCAGCCGGAACGCACACACTTATGGTAAGCGTTCCTTTCGTTTCGTTTGCTGCATAAATTTCGCGTATAACTTGTTAGGAATTGCATGATTGCTTTTATATGTTAAACGTGCACAAAATGCGCCAACTTTCTCATGCTTTTTCATTTTTTTGGTCACCTTCATAATTTTTGTGGTTAAAAAAACTTGTAAATAATCTTTGACAAATTAAATTTCGGTGCTTTGGCCTTGCCTTTCTCTAGTCTTATGGTCTCACAATCAGTTTCAAAATAATTATGGAAGGGAACGGAGCACTTCGGCGGCCGTTAGACGGTCAGAAATGGCTTTAAACAAAAGTTTTGTATCGCTTGCAGATGAAAGAGTTATTTCTTTTTGAAAATATAAGTGGAACTATGTTTAGTTTCTGCAGTTATGCATTTAAAATTCATGACATGAGCTTGCGAATTTATCAAAATTTTATGTACAATGAATTTTTTATAGTGAATCAATTAAAGTTTAAGATAAATTAATAATTGGAATTGATTCCAGGAAAATTCCATATTTTTTATCGCCGTCAAAATATATAAGGCTATGTAATATAAAAAGTCTCACTGATTCGGAATTGAAAGGCCCTGTGGATAGGTAATTCAAAGTAGTTAAAGCATTACCAGCTTTAAAAACAATAAAAACTTCTATATATCATATCTATAACTAAGACATTTTAGGAAAAGCGATATTTAAATATGCATATAAAGTCTTAACTACTAAAATAAAAATTAAATGGCTAATCAGAAGAAAAAAAAATTATAAATTCCATAGGTGAAATAAATGCAGTCCGCTCGACCACAGAGGAATTCACATATTTGAAATAAGCATATCCATATACGCTAAGCAATTTTATAAAGTGATACATACTTATCGCACATTTCAACGCTTTGGCAAGCATATTTAATAACATAGCTTCCTTTAGTATTATGGAATTTCAGATACTGCAATAATGTATTTAATATAAATTTTTAATGAACATTGGAAATAATAAATTAAGCCATCATGATATTTATAAAATCAGAAAAGCACTGAATACTGATATATATTGAATTTGTACAGATGTTATTTTTACTCACCTGATATGCCATCATAGGTCCACCATTCTTCCCAACTAACTGCCAATATCACTGCAAGTTAAAAAAAAAACAATGGATATAATTATTTTTGTGTGTGTGTGTGTAAACGACTTAATTTACTTATATATAATAACTATAAAGTTTTATTAGCTTAATTCAGCATTTTACTACCATAAGTTGAAACGTTAAGGCATAGTTTTTAATAATTGAGTTTATTCGACTAAAAATATCGGCATAACAAGAGTTCAATAAAATATGTTGCTGTTACGTACTCACTCGTACACATTTCTTTTATTCTGTATTGTTGTATATACTTCTACTATTGCAAAAAACAAACAAAATTATTCAGAGGTAAAAATTCAGAGGTCTTTCTTGAAAATAATTTTTTAATCGGAATAAAAATTTTGCTGTGGATAATATTTTGTATTAGACCTTTAAAAAATATAACCAAAAGCTTTAAAAGAAATAATATTAGGGCCAGTTCAAACTATTTAAAGAATTTTAAGTCAGTTTAAATAATTTATTTTATTCTAAACAAATTATTTCAAACTAATGAGAATTTTATGCAATTTTATCCCTGAAACCGGAAGCCTCAAATCATAATATAATGCAGGCAAAATACATATGAAGGTTTTCTATTACAAATCAATCATTATAATTTAGCTCAAGTCTACTTAAATAGTAAATTGCTGATATGAATATATATGAAATTATGCATAATAAAAAGCTATATTGATATTGCCTGAAAAATTTTGTTAAACATGAAATATTCTGCTTCTGAACGACATTTGTTTTCATATTCATCTAAAAATACAATTTAAAAATTAATAATTTATTCGAGCTGTAAGGCACAACAACAACTGTATTGAAATTATATTGTTTTGGTACAGGTGATAGAACTGTATGTTTTCAATTCAAATGAAGTTTTTATTAGTATTTTGTTTTTGTATTGTCAATTATTCAGCAGCTGGATTTATGTAAGTACAAAAGTTTCAACCTATCAATATTTTTACACCAATTGCTTCCATATTGAGTGAAATAAATTGTATTAAATTTTAATTGAAAGTTATGGGCTGCTTTAGTAATTACATTAATTGAACTCATAGCCATGCGATGGAAATTGTTCTCTGGCACTTGTATAATGATTTTTGGCTATATCAAATATATATACTCACTCTGTGTGTGAAAGGTATGTGCAAAATATTTGAAATTTACGAAATTGCTTTAATAGCATAAGCCATTGGTATAAACACACATACGTTTATATGTAAGTATATATATTTTTATATATTTGTAAGCATTGTTAATAGTGGTTCAGTTTTCACTATCATTAATTTCATTTTAAGTATTTAGTAAACTAAATGCATTATTTACCACTCACGAGATAACATTAACTTACAACACTAACAGTAACAATAACAACAGAGCTGGCAATAACTACCGTAGTAACAAATAACTATAAGAGCATAACACCATTTACTAAGACTATCGACCAACTAAAAATGCAATGACTATTAGAGAGGGTAGAGGATGAGCGCACGCCACACTCTCAGGTTCTCAATTCCAAAAGCTGACAAAAATAAAAATCGTGCAACCGAACACGAACGATCGTAAATGGTCTGTGCCAGTGTAGCACGCCCATACATGAATGGCTTTCTACAATAACATTAAAAGGAAATTTAATACTAAAATCATCGCACTATGCAGTTATGCAGCGAAGCCACCAATTCGCATACTACATCCATAAATACCTATATATTTGCGCGTTCGTAGGTTTGTGCCGAAACGGACATATTCACGAAAAATTACTAAGCTGCTGAAGTTTCTGAAGAGTGGTGAGAGTCATTTCGGTTTGGCGGTGAAGAAGGTAATTTGATGTAGAAGGGAAATTGCAGTTGGAAGGTGTTTTGCAAGGGTGTGAATAAGCGTAAAACTAGTGAAAACTAGAAACGAGCGAGAAATAGAAAAGTGTAAAGTTCAATGCTGCGGCTGTTGTAATATACCCAACCGAAGGCAACCGAACTGTGTGCAATAACAAAATATTACTCCGAACGAGCAGTTGTATTGGCAGCCAAAAATGTAGCGCATAGGGTTAGTTGAAACATTTAGAAAACCATTAATTTCAATCATTGCCCATGACTTTGCAATATTATTGTGCAATTTTCACTCGCTTTAATATAATAAAATGGATGGTAGCGGAAGTAGGGTCAGCTCTAATGTTTCTGCTTTCTGGCGCCCTACCCAACAACGGCTGCCCAGAACCGCATTGCCCGATGACCGCCAAGGGTTTAACACTTGCTTCTGGCAAACTGTTGGCCAAAGATGGTAAATAGCATACCACACACCACAAATGGTGAGTGGAAAAAAGAATGAGCAATAGCGAAATTTGAAATGGCCTGGCTGCAGTTTGCCTGGTATTCATACATACATATGTACTCAAGCGAGTGCACTATGAATTTTTGTTTATGGTGATGTAATTTGGGTCATTAAGAGGCATTTCGGAAGGTTTACGCATACAGTTAAAATTTTTACTTCATTTAATTAGAACCTGAGGTTTCATATAATATACTTCATATTGCTACTCAATTGCAATTGATGTGCTAAAAAGATAGTACCGTTATTTTTCTGAACAGTGTTGTTACTTCGGAAACTTCGCAGTTCTAGTTTCTCAATACCATTTACTTCGGCTGCACCGCAGCTATAATACCGTTCACATGTACATTTATTATAGGAAATATATATATACATATATATAACTGCAAACGTCACAGGCCAAAGGTTTATATCCAACGAAAAAGGTTCTGATAGTTTTTCCTTGCCACGTAGCCACAGGGATTTAAGAATACATAGCAGCTATATTCTGTAGTTGTTCAATCTAAACAATTTGTTCAGAGATTGTTGCGTGTCCTTGGATAATAATCTGTGCAAAATTTTGTGATGATATCTAGTCAAATAAAAAAGGTTTCCAAAGAAGTACTTGGCTCTGAATGGTCAGTTTGTACGGCAGCTATATGCTATATTAGACCGATATGTCTCGAAATCTCAAAAACTGATAACCTAGTTATTATATACCATAGTTTTATTAAGAGCAGAAATTTTCCGGCAAGTTGACGGTCAATAAAAAGTATTATTTGAACGTTTTGAGGCGTTTGCGCGAAAAAAATCCGTCGTAAACGGCCGGAATTATGGGCCAACAATTCATTAATTTTTTAAGACGATAATGCGCCATCGCACCAAACTGTAGTTGTGAACGACTTTTTGACTAAAAACTCGTTCAACACTAGCGATCAACCACCGTATTCACCGGATTTGGGCCCATGCGACTTTTTTCTGTTTCCCAAACTCAAGTAACCACTCCGTGGAACCCGTTTCGACTCAATTGAGGCAGTCAAAGAAAATTCGCAGAGAAAGAAGAAATAATCGATGTCGGTTTTGGAGGTCGCTTCAGAATGAGCATATTTTGAAGGCGACCAAATAAATATTGATGACAATTAAAAAAATTTTCGTTTTATTTACAATTTCCGGAAACTTTCATTTATATACTTTTATATTATATACTTAATATGGTATCTGACGTTTCGTTTTGATTGTTATAAACATCAACGTAAACGTAATACGTGTATACCCTTTTTACGGTATAAAAGTTGTGATATACATATGTATGTAGTATTCTAATTTTTTGTTAATAAAAAGGTGTTTCTTTTTTCCTGCCAAGAGTGCTCAATTTTTTTCAGCTTAATAAAACAATGTACAACCTAAATAAAACGAAGTTATGAAATATTTTAAAATGCATTCAATTCAATACATTAAGAATAAATTTTCAGTAATCGCTTTGACAATTAGTAAAATACGTGGAATAACACAAATAAATATTTCTCGCGGATACGTACTTGTACATACCGTATAAAAATATAAATATTTCAGTTATATTTTATTTCCATAAAAAATATTACACTCAAGCAATAAAGCTTTTTATTGTGTACGTGGATTAAATGCGATTTAGAAATGTAGAAGAGAAATTATACCGCTATTTCAAAAGTTTCGTGGTAATTTTTTCGTTGCAAACATTTTAAAATGTAGTAAGTGCGTAGACAAATGGCAAAGGTAAATGTGGAATATATGAAATCGTTAAAGATAGCGCCACAAAAACAGTGTATGCATAGAAATTATATTTTAAAAGATCGAAGAAGATGAATGAAAATCCACTCAAACGAACTCAATAGTATTGCTTCTTACAAGTATATTTATACCACACAACGCCAATTTTCCGCGCTCATTTCTCAAGCCATGCCAATCGTTTCGTAATTTGTTAACGTCCCCTTAAAAAAAAATAGTTTTCAGGTAACTGCTTTGCTATTTCGGGTTTGCGTGCGAGCAATTTACCTGCGATGCATATTGACAGCACCATTCTTGGTTCGTTTTTAACGCTGCGCATTGTTGTTGCAGCTATATGCCAACAAGTTGAAAGGAAAGTAATAACATTAGTGCAAAGTTTTTAGACTTTGATTTTTTCTGTACTTGTGTATACTCACATTCGCTGAAATTTATGTTCAGCGCCAGTTGCTGCTTTATTTCATTTTCTGGTAAAATGCATAAAATTTTTTTTCCATGACTCAGCACATTTCACGTGACTCCGACCTACAAGCAGACATGACGAGTGGCGGTGTAGTTTTTCTACCATAAATGCCAGTGTCGCAAAGAAATTTCTTTTTTAACTACTTCACGTACTTCTTTCTTCAAATTTCATTGCTGCCTTTCATACGATGCTCAAGTAGATAATCCTTTTATGCCAATCGTACGCCTGTCAAAAGGTGTCGAAACGCATGTCGGCGCCTGTCAAAGCGAATGAAATGCAATGAAATTTTGCTGAACCAGTTTCCGGCTTGCGCGTTGCTGCTGCGAATATTTATTTGGCCAAAGTTGCTTTTAGAAATTACAAACTAAATTTAATTGCAACTCTCCGAGACCAAATCGGAGTAAGTTCTAAGGTTGCTTCTTTGCAGCCAGACAACTTGCCGCATCATTAAGTTGGTTACATCACAGCAGATGAA